TGGTGTGGAGTCTTCCAAAATATTTGGCACAGAAGAAATCAGATAGAAACAACTACGTAATTAATACAGCGACATTCGTAGTTGTTTCTATCTGATTTCTTCTGTGCCTAATATTTTGGAAGACTCCACACCACACAGAATCAGATCTGATTCTTTCGCTGAATATATGCAAACAGAAATGGTTGTATAAAGTCGTGGTCTATAATTTTGGAGCGGAAGTGCACAGTGCAGCAAATCGAAGAGCAGGAACGTGCCCAAACCTCTTATAACACCTCTCTCTATATCCACTTCTCTATGTGGCGATCGAACGAAAAACCAATAATGTTTTGTTTTTTGAACCCAGTTCTTCGGATTACCAGACCAGCGCACAATCCTCTGCGCCACGATCGCCACAAGATTTAATGCATGTGACGAAGGTATATTATTACTCCTGCATTGTTATTATTACTATTAATACTATTAATTACTATTAATAGTAATTAAGACATACAAGAATATACACACGAAATAAATAATGTCATCGATAATTGTTCAACAACTTTATCACGTGACGAGACATCAACATGTCGAGATTGCATTCTCTGCTTGACAGAAGAAACATGTGATGTCTCGTCACGTGATAAAGTTGTTGAACAATCAGCGACGACATTATTAATCTCATGTGTATATTTTTGAGCTTTTCCGCCATTATAGTCTGTCAGCATAAAAAATTTTATGCTGACGTTCGGGATTTCTGGTAAAAAAGTACGTGCTGTACTGTAAGAAGAAAATATGTCTTTATCGTCAGTTCTAACAGTTGCAACTTCTCCATTGCTCATACCAATGTGTCGAGTACGTGCGATTATGACGTTGCAATGTTTAGGTAGACATTTTATTACATAATCTTAAACAGAAATGAAATATTAACAATCAACTACGAATGTCGCTGTCTTAATTACTGGTTGTAGAGAACAAGAAAGCTATTATAGCATCAATAATATTCAAATTATTCCCTAAAGTACCCATAATTTGTAGCTATAATTTCAACGAGTTTGGGAAAAATACCAGAAGAAGAAAGTGAATATTTTTCATTTCCCTCCTGATGAAAATATCATCTCCCGACAGCTCGACAGAAATTATAGTTTTCTTTATGTTTCTATCTTATTCCATGTATGCCTAATATTTTGGAATACTCCACCCCACACAGAATCAGATCTGATTCTTTCGCTGAATATATGTAAACAGAAATAACTATATGTTATCAAGTATTAACAATATATTGTGCAATAGTTGGATGTACGAATAATAAACTTGACATGTATTACTGCTTGTTCTAGTTTTGAGAATTGCGTAGCCAATCAACTTGCAGCTTTTGTGGAACAGCTACATTGATTGGCTACATATTTCGCGGAATTAGAACTTGGACCAAGTACTAGCGTCATGGACACAGGCCTTAATTCGCCTGAATAGACACAGAGTTTCTAAATTTCTAAACAGTTGCTACTCTTTTCATCGGTGTTTTATTATTAACTCCATTATTTTTTCCAATAAAATCTTTAGTTTGATTTTTTAAGAAATATAACATTTGTTAATCAAAAACTAATACTAAAGCAACTAGTTTGTATGTATAAATATCCGTTGTTATATTTGGCGCAATTTGTTGATATCATTACTTTTGTAGAGAAGATAGTTTTGTAAAGAAGATATTTTTGTAGAGAATATACTTTTGCAAAAAAGATAGAGTAACAAAATATATTCGGTTGAATAGATACTACTCGGGAAGACCCCCCTCAATAACATATTAAAAAATTAATGAAATCGGAGGAGAGGGGCCCCTTTTATGCATAATTAAAAAAAATAGTACTTCTGCTATTAATGCTCAACTTTAAAAAGTTTTAATCTGAAATTATATTCTCCTTTCTTCTTATCTTATTTATATTATTATAATTGTCACGTCCAGCGCACATTTTTCGCTGACGTGGCTAGTAACGATAGTAATTGCCCACCCGATAGGTATCACTGGCGCAGCGCGGCTACTAGCACGCGCGCAACACGTGATTAACAGATATTCGCTCTCCTTCTTTTCCAAGTTTAACGATAGAATTAAGCGATTAATTGACGATAGCCGAGGCAGCCACTATAACAGACGAGTCCTTGGCGCCTCCGCTTTCGTCTCAAATTAATAAAAAGTTAATAATAACGAATAATAAGCTGACATCGACGATTTCCGCGGAAAGAGTGAACTCCACGGGAACCGTCGATCACAGCCGCGTGCGAGGGCGCTGTGCGCCTCCACCGGTAGCCACGATGGCAGTCAGGACCAGTAAAAATCGCTGTAAATGAGAGAAATATAGGTAATTGTGCATAAAAGCGACTTCCTCTCCGATTCGCTT